TTGGAGCGGGGGGCAGGATGATATTTTGCGGTTTTGCAGTTCATCAACAACTGTTGCTATATGCATGCCTCGCGCTAAAATGATAATATACTAGTAATCAAATGATGTTCAACAGTTATTTTTAATATACACCATGTTTTAAATATATATTTATGTGAATGTTCTATGTTATACAAGTGGTTAGACTGATAAAATATTAAATCTTGAATCTGAATATCATCTGGGAACTATTATCATATAGTCTTTGTCTACTCATTAATAAGTAAAGAAGTCATGTTCTTTCAGGCGTATGTACTGCACATATATCAGTGTATATAATCTGGTCGCTTTTTCTTACATTACTTTTCACTAACAAGAAATTTGATCAAATATTTAAATTAGAAAAAAATCTTGGTCTTTCCCACGAACCCCCAATGAAAGAACACCCCTTCTAGTTGTCAACACGAACAGCGTTTCTATATCACACGAAACAAATATATAATAGACACCAGAGGCGCATCATTATCGCTCATCTTTTACCTATATTTACACCAATTTTAACTATACTTACCTGTTCACACCTTTGTTTACCTGTTCACACCTTTGTCTACCTGTTCACACCTTTGTCTACCTGTTATCACTTACAAATTGATATCATTAAAGAAGCCGACAGCATGAGATTTGAAGATAATGGACAAAACAGAACTGTATTCTTGCTCAATTTGTTTTTTCTTTTGTATGCAAAGATTAAATTAGGGGCATAAAACCGAATTATCACCCGGACGGGAATTGTCTAACTTGTAACAAGTCCATATTGATCTTTGACACATTTTCCTATAAAACTTGAAAGTTTAAGTATTGATTTTAGCACCTCAAATTGACCACCGGAGAGAAGCACTCTTAGGCTTATTAATTTGAAATAAAATTGAAATTAAATTTGTTTACTTCTGTTGAAGAGAGAGAAATAAGTTAAATAGTGAAATAAGGTCCCTAATAACTAAAATCAGGCTTAAATGACATGGCGTAATAACTTAACAATTCATTTTATTCTTGCTATTCATTTAAATTCATTTCAGCTCTTGTAACAGCAGGGTTGTTAATTGTAACGCAAATCATTTTGATTTTGCCGGAAGTATGGAAACTTATGATTGGTCGGTCCTGCTTACTATGTTTATCACAGCAACAGTTAATTTACCAGCACCGAAGGTATGAGTCATATATATGAATAAATGTAATGCCAGAAATACAAGAAATTAATGTTACATCCCACTAAAAATCACAAAAACAAATACTAATAAAAAATCAAACTTGCACTTAAACACTGACCAAACCTTATGTTTGTGAGAAAGGTTGTGGTAGGGATATAAACGACAAGACCGAATTCATGCAGCCGGGAAAATTAATTTTATTTTATAATTCAAGACTTACCACTAAGTACTCAACTGACCATCAAAACTGCAGACAAGGTACTTGTAGCATTTAACGCAAATGCCTCCTTCCTTTCTCAGTTTGTCTTGATCCCCCACACCCAACCCAATATGATATTTTCCGTTGATAATAAATCTTAAATTTTGATTGATGTTTCAATTAAAGTGGCTGCATGGAAGTAGATAATTCATAAAGGGAGAAGGAATTAGCAAAAATATTGGAGACTACAACAGACAACATCAACCACTAAAACTCGACAAACAAACAACAACGAATAACGCATAGTTCAAAGGTCGGACTATAACATCAGATATTTTTTGTTTCCAAAAAACGGACCTATTATGGGAAGAACCATTTCAATTATTAAAACATTAGGTATTTATCATGATATAGACAATACAAAAGAAAACAGCTCAAAATTTGGAGTAGAACATGAGTAAGTAATATAACCATTAAACCATTGTGTTCAGTGTTTGTTGACCAAGCACCAGAAGCAGCATCATGATTTCCATTATTACGTCATCGGGGTTCCGTGTGGCTTATGCAAATGGACAAATATTCTAGTTATACAAATGCAGGAGTCAATAAGGGCAGGTGCATGTTTATGTCACAAGCCTATAGTTCAGTGGTTGTTCTTGGTTCATGTCTGTCAAATTTGTTTTTTGTAAATTGTTTTGGTATAATTAGGCCGTTAGTTTTCTCAATTGAATTGTTTCATATTTTTCATGTCGGGGCATTTTATAGCCGACTATACGGTAAGGGTTTTTTTCACGCATTGTTGAAGGCCGTACAGTTGCCTATAATTGCTTACATTCACTTCAATTGGACATTGGTGGATAGCTTCTCATTGGCAATCATACCACATCTCCTTATTATTTAAGCATTTAGTCTGAAAATGAAACCCAACAGTGTTAGAATTAGATTTTTATGGTGACACATTTTTGTTCCTCAACGGGATTTGAACTCACACCTTTGATACACTACAGCAACAATCGTTTAGCCTCATGTCCAGCGCTCTAGACCACTCGACCACATCCGCTATATTAGAATATAACTTCAATTGTCGTAGTGTTACCTTGTCACGTAAGGCGAATCTATATATACACATATGTTAAAATGTTTTAAAAAATATCTAGTCCTCCTAGTGGCTGATGAACGTGGACAAGTGTAATTAAACAGTCTAAATAGTCATCCAGATGCAAGTGTCACCAAGGGCAGGACTGGTGCTGAAATGAAATTCTTACGTGTATGGTTTAGATTTGGTGTAAAATATATTTGGGTTTAATATGAAACTCTCTGACAAACAATTCTAAAAATACAAGACAATTGGGATAAATTATGAGAATTTTTTATTATTATTCATGAAAGAACCTATATATATAGTTCAAACAAGCTATGGTTATTTACGAATAAACCTTAGCAGTCAGCATAAAAATATCAAAGCTAGCACTATATTCCCTAGCACGCAGTAATACCGGTATGTTGCTGCTTTAATTCATTATTGAAGTGCAATTCGTCTTTAAAATTAGAACTGGAGCATCTTGGATAAGCTTTATCTTGTGGAGTAATATACTGATATCTTCCCTTTTCAATCTGAATCGAGTGTACTGACACACGCAATCTTGTCAATTTTTTAACAATAATATCAGGGCCGTCAATTATGTGGAGGCATGTAGGCAGTGCCTCCTATTACTGGCCGACCAAAATAATAACATAATAATATATACAAACAAGAATGTGTCCATAGTATACGGATGCCCCACTCGCACTATCATTTTCTATGTTCAGTGGACCGTGAAATTGGGGTCAAGACTCTAATTTGGCATTAAAATTAGAAAGATCATATCATAGGAAACGTGTTTACTAAGTTTCAAGATGATTGGACTTCAACTACATCAAAAACTGCCTTGACCAAAAACTTTAACCAGAAAGACCAAAAACTTTAACCCGAAGCGGGACAGACGGACGGACGGACGGACGGACGGACGGACGAACGAACGGACGGACGAACGAACGAACGGACGCACAGACCGAAAAACATAATTCCCCTAGGTGAGGCATAAAAAACAAGAGAGAAATAGAAGCTCATCTCCAAGCTAGAACTCGATCCACATATATTTACTTGAGATACAAGAAAATGCCGAGGAGGCATTAAATGATTCTATTTTTTGTATGTACAAGCACTTTTGCCAATAAAAATGAAATTACGATCAACAAACTGGTACCATTTACGTCAACGATAAATGGCAAACGCAGCAGCTGAACCCGTGTAAAAGCATTTTAATCCCACTTGTTGCCTTGGATCATACCACCAAACATATAAACGAATGATTTGTATTGAAACCAATGCTTTAATTTTTTTTATCCCATGGTATTTACAAAACTTGATTGACGACATTGTAGACTTCATCGGTTGGTAAATATCAAAATCACATCCCATACCATGAGGACTTAACCAAATGAAATTCACAGGTCGACAAGTATGAATAGTATAGAAGACATGGGGAAATCAAAGTACTGAAGTACTGAACATCGGATGACCGCAAGTTCTGGTGGATGGTCACAAGCTCTGACTTGTCTCAGAAAAAAAAAAATCATATCTCTATACCTGAAAGTTAGGTTAAGGACACTCTTCTGTAATAATTCGTTTTTTCTAATAGATTGGATTTGAGTAGGCATTCATATTTTCCCGCTTTTGTTGCAAAACGTTCTCGAGATATTCTTCCGCATGCGTTAACACCCATTTTTGGTATTCATGATTTGTTATTGATATATATATTTCTCACGACAAAACATATCTATGTTCTTAAAAATTATTTTCATTAATATTTATTGTTGAAATTTATATATAACAAGCGATAAGGAATATTATTTTGCACGCTATAATATCCACGTAATAATACGAAATACGTTCGGTTATCAGTCAAAAGCGCAAGAAAATTTCTGCGGCAATACAACACCGGTATGACCTCTCACGGTCACATGAGATGTAAAACTGTACCATATAACATATATGTAGTTTGTGTAGACCATCGCACTTCAGCGTTACCACCATCGCACTTCGGCGTAACTATCAACAAGATAGCGTCACAGTGCCACCATCGCACCTCAGCGTGACCATCGCGGTTCATATATTTTGACCTGGGCTACTGAAATGTTGTAAATTTTGCCATTAAGATATCAGATATCAGATAGTTTGCTACTGAAAAAAAGGAAATGACTCAACATCAAAATGTTTTTAAGTTCTGTTTCTTAAACTACAAGCACTGTCGAAATAAATTTTAAAGTGTACATGGTACTTACATTTCCTTTTCTTGGAGTTTCTCATTGGGAGAAGGAGAACTAAGGATTTGTATAGTAAGAAGGATTGGAATCTCGTGGACTTTTGCATAGACTGTAATTATAATGGGTTGCTATACATATCCTTGCATAAACCTAAAGGGTCGGATTCTTAAGTGCCATTGGGCTAAAAATATATTATTTCGCTTTGATTTCGTATTATCATTCGTTATTTTTCGTTTCGTTCTCACTTTATACTTTATAAGTACCCCGTCTGAAGCTGTAAATTTTTGAAAACACATTAGAGTGACCTCCCCTTGTATTTACCGGAACACAATGGCACTCACACAAGATGAACTTCGAAAAGCAATAAAAGGTTTGTTTTACGTACATAGAGCTTAATACATTTAACAAAGGACACATGAATATCGCACAAGCCCGTTTATTTCAAATAGTTTTATATCACAAACATTTCACGCTTTTATTTAAATCTTACAGACATACTGAAGGATGCCGATCTTGATAGCTTGTCGGCAAAGAAAGTTAGACTACAGTTGCAGGACCAGTATGACACAGACCTCTCAGATAAGTATGTTTTCAAGTACACTTATCATTTTAATTTTCTGTTATTAACCATTATTATAAGTTTTAAAGGTATAGTGGTGTGCGACACTTTTGTGTACAGTGTGTTGTGTGCACGTGGATAGTAACTCGTGAAGGTAGATAACTCTACATCAACAATGATCAGCTGATTGACAATACTGTTTAATGCATGTTAGTTTTTTTGTCTTCCTTAGAAAATGTTTATTTCCAACAGAGGTAGAACTCATGGTTGTATGAGGTTTACCTTCACCAACATTATATTGTGTATGCTCTAAATGCAGAGCTTGTATTTCAAATGGATAGATAGATAGATCTTTATTCTCATTAACTAAATTACATAGTTACAGAGATCTCATTAACTAAATTACATAGTTACAGAGATGATAATATACACAATAAAACATATTTTGCATGTGTGAAAATTACGTAAATAAATGTTTTTTAACCAGGAGGACAGACTTTCACCGATATATATTTAATAATAGATCTACACAACTTTTCTAGGAAAACAATATTGACTGAAGTGAATACATCATTAAATTTAAGAATATTTTAAAACATTTGTGCAACAATAGTGTGGTAAATATTTATGTCGTTCTTTTTTTGAAAAAAGGGCAAGACATTACATAATGGAACTCATCGCCGATGTCAGCAGATTCACAAAGGTGACATAATCTCTGGTGATAGTTTGTTTTAAGTTTCAACTCACAAGACCAACCCAGACACACTGACACAAAAAAAGGCATACTCAAAGAAAACAACTGAAATTTGTTTCACTTATTACAAAAAATTTTACATTTGCCTTGTGTTGAAAATCATTATGGTGAATTTTTTCATAGTGATGCTCAGATTGTCAGTTATTGAAAATGTTGATTATAGATTATAATTTTGTTTCAACAAACCAAAATGTTCAACTGGTCAGAAGTTTTACCAATCTTCTGCAGAAGAACCTGTTAACTGCAAAGTGAAGTATATAGTTTATTGAACTGTGTCTTCAGATACATCATTGAAAATTGATGAATGTCCTGGAAAAGTTGGTTCCCTATTCAATAAACTAGCAAAAACATTACAAGCAATTTTCAACATGTTTCAAAACCTTAACGGTAACGAACAATCATGTTTTTTTAAAGAAAAAAAGAAATAGATCAGTTAGTGATGGAACTTATAGAAGAGAGTCAAGATAGTCAAGAAAATGAAGATGATGCAAGTTCTGAAGAGGAGGAGGTAACAAAAATTTTCTTCGTATTTGAATTTAAAAGATACTATAGTTAACATGTATATAAAGAAATGTGTTGTATACATCAATGAGACAGCAACCTTCATGCAAATAAATAAAAACAATCTAAAGGTCAATATAAAGTCTTCAACAATAGACTGTTGGACACAGTTGTTCATCTCTTAGTTAAATATAACCCTTTGTTAAATCTTTTTAACAGATGGTTACTAACCAAGGGTTAAAATTCTGTTGTTCAACTTCTTTTTAATCCTTGGTTACTAAATGTAACTCATGATGGTTAAATTCTCAATGCATGTTAATTTTTATCAAAAGACTTATCAGCACTTTTCCAAGGTCCTAGAAAAACTGTTTGGTCAATAAATATGATTTCCTGTTAAAACAATACGCCTTTCGTTGTCTAATAAAATAGTACAACAACATGGACATGACAGAGAGTACCTTTTGTGTGAAAAGAAGCCTTGTTCATCGGATTGAGTCTACTTGGTTATAGATTACTTAATAATATTTAATTTTGCTGCATGAATTTGTTTATTGAAAAAAAGGATACATGTAACTGGGTAAAACTGATGTTGATTTGATTATTTCTATATATATATTAGGTACAAGTAACAAATATGATCATGAACGTAAACCTCGATGCAAAAAGGGGGATGGACTGTAGATTTTTAAACTAAATAATACATTTTTTAATACAAATGGTCATTGTTATCAATTTTCCTGGATGAAGAAAGATAAACTGTAACCTCACTGTTTTTCCCTTGGTATTATCTTGAGACAATAATTCTAAATGGCCCTGGGGAGAACACTGAGTCTGTTTGGATGTTACTTGATTTTAGGGTTTCATCATTTACTCCTACTGTAGTAATTAAGACTGTGTATTTCTACTTCTATTTTGTGGTTCCCCCGTATATAAATAGATGTACTTTATCTACCTGAATGTTCAATGCTCAATGTACATTATATTATGGAAGAATATTTGTTTTCATTATTTAGTTGGAGGATGAACCACCTAAAAAGAAACCAAAACCAACAAAGAAAGCCACAGCCACAAAGGTATGTAATCTTGTTTGTTTTAGATTTTAATTGTAAACAAGTCGTGAAAAACAAAGCAGCATTTCATCATGCCAGACATGTCTGTCTGCATATGTAATTTTTGTGCAGGGACTTAGTAATTGAAAAAAAGTTTTTTAATACATTGTATTTCAATGACCAATAAGTATTTACTACTCAAGGCTGTTGTAAGCTATTGTCATCACTTTGCATTGTGGTTAGTTGTAAACTGTATATTAAAATCTAAGATTAGGAATACCTCTCAACCAACTGGGCCAATTCAATCAAACTTGGCCTGCATCATCCTTAAGAGATCTACTTTAAAAGTTATATAAGATGCTACCATTGTCAAACCCGTATGACTGCAATTGATTAGAATAAAACAAAGTGGTAAAGTAATAAAAAGTCAATGAAAAAATTTCCTGTTAATGACCAATTACTATCAAACTTTTAAGAATTATGGGTATTCAAAAAGGGAAATCACCATAATAAGAAATAGGAACTCTCACAAGAGTGAAGAATTTGAAGGATTCACGCAATCAAATATTGACGAAAGCAAAGCCAGAAGTATAGGCAGGGATATTTTAGTTTGTCGGAACTGGATTGCAAGTCATCCGTACCGGCTCAAGCAATAAAAAAAAATCTCGTTGAGATGATCAGCTATAATCTATAAATTAATTAAACATTTAATTAGAGTACTCATTGTACAGCTTTTATAATTCTTTCACCACAAATTATCCCTGGTAGTTAACATACAAATCAGCTGCAGTAGCTATCTAATCAGCAGTGTGTAGTAGTGAACTATATAAGTGCCTATGCATATGGAAGATAAGAAGTTAAGAACGCACCACTTCAAACATTGTCACCATTTTACTAAAATAAAAAATTAAACAAAAGAATATACTGTATATATGAACCATGTAAAAATTCTGATAAAATATATGAAATATAAATTGCTTTCAAAGTTTGGTTCAATTTTTTACGTTTATGATCCTAATTTTATCCCAGTCAGCTAAAAGAAATGTATAAATCCCTCCAAAGCCAGATGTATTTTTCAATTCTGATCTATTTTTAAATGCAATAAAAAATATCTGAAATCCTGTGTAGGGTTGGTTTAATATGGCAAGGAAGTGTCCATTGTTGACATTAGGCATATGTACAGGTGGGGGATATAAACTACTTAGAACCTTTACTTTCTGTCTTTGTATGATTTCACAATCATTCATATTACTCTCAATTTTGAATTATTGTGTGCATTTATTATTGCTGTTATAGGAAAAGCTGCATACAAAGATATGGATCAGATATCATAATGAGAGTTCTTATTATTGCAATACTCACCCAGTTGCATTATTCACATCAATAAAAACCTCATTATAATTTCTACAGTACCCAGTAATCGTGTACATCATTTTTGTTTTAGTTTAATATCATGGTCAGTTACTTTTATCTATTTTCAGCCGAAACCACAACCAAAGAAAACTCCAGAAAAAGTGGTAGCAGTAACAACTAACATGAGTGATTCATCAGATGGTGATGTTAGTTTTACCATTATCTATACCCCACATATATTGGGGTTTTGATCCCCTGACATGCTTTTTCTAACTAGTTAGGTGCATGTCACAAGAACAAATAGTTTTCATTGTTATTTTAAGGGAAACAAATTGATTACATTAAAAAAATGAAATAGAAAAGATATGCTGACCTAATGTTCAAATTTTTATACGTGTAAAGATGATTTTATGAAAAACATATAGAACATACAAGAATAAAACAAATTGCTTCCAGAATTTAGGTTTATCTACAAAATATTTTGGGGGAACCTACAATGCTTCAAACAAGTTGTTTGTTAGAACGTTAGAATGATAAACATGGTGCAGTTTAGATACCACATTATTGACAATTTCAATGACATTTTTAACCAATAAACATGTATTTGAACATCCTAATGAAAGAATTTAATGGAAACTTTCAGAAAAGAAATATCTGCTTATTGTAAAAATGATTTTAGTATGGTTAATTTTTGTAGGATGATGATGAAGCAATGGCTCAGAAATTACAAGAAGAATTAAACAGTGGTGGTAGAAGAACAAGATCAAGAAATACAAAGGTTGGTACTCCACACACTCTTATTAGTGTACATCATCATTTAAACAGATAAATATTTATTTTATTTTATACTTTAAGCATGATTTATTGTTCAAAAGGACAAATGGATCAGACACAAGTTTTTATACGACCGCAAAAAAAATTGGTATGACGTTGGCGTCGTTGTCCGAAGACACATTGGTTTTCGCACTCTAACCTTAGTTTAAGTGTATGGATCTCTATGAAATTTTACCATAAGGTTCAATACCACAAAAGGAAGGTTGGGATTGATTTTTGGGGTTATGGTACTAACAGTTCAGGAATTAGGGGCCAAAAATAAGCATTTTTGTAACTTCCAGACATAACTTGTGTGTTAGTGTATGGATCTCTCTGACATTGTACCACAATGTTCCATATCACAAAGGGAATGCTTGGATTGATTTTGGGGGTAAATGCCTCAAAATTTTAGGAATCGGGGGCCAAAAAAGGGGCAAAAAACAAGCATTTTTCTAGTTTCAGGACAATAACTTGTGTGTAAGTGTATGGATCTTTATGAAATTGTACTACAAAGTACCATATCACAAAGGGAAAGCTGGGTATGAGTTAGGGGGTAATTGCCCTAAATGTTTAGGAATTTGGGGCCAAAAAGGGGCCAAGAAACAAGCATTTTTCTAGCTTCCAGACAATAACTTGTGTTCAAGTGTATGGATCTCTCTGAAATTGTACTGCCAGGTACCATACCACAAAGGGAAGGCTGGGATTGAGTTTGGGGGTGATGAATCATAAGGGGGTTCAAAACATTTGGGGGGGGGGATTTTTTTTTTCTTTTTTTTTCTTTAAAATTTTCCATTTTAAATTGGTTATTTCTGATTTATATATAAGAGCAAATAATAATGATATGGTTTGAATAGGTAAATTAAAAAATTTTAAGTTCTTAGACCACATTCATTCTGTGTCAGAAACCTTTGCTGTGTCAAATATTTAATCACAATCCAAATTCAGTGCTGTATGAAGCTTGAATGTTGTGTCCATACTTGCCCCAACTGTTCAGGGTTCGACCTCTGCGGTCGTATCAAGCTGTGCCCAGCTTTTATTACAACTTAGGAACGTCTTTTTTGTCGAGCCTTCGACTTTAGTCGAAAAAGCGAGACATAGCGATCCTACATTCCGTCGGCGTCCACAAATATTCACTCTGTGGTTAAAGTTTTTGAAATGTTAATAACTTTCTTAAACTATACTGGATTTGTACCAAACTTGGACATAAGCTTGTTTATGATCAAATAGTAGTATCTAGAAGGAAGTTTTGTTTTCTTCCAGTTAACATTACATTCAGTCTGCAGTTAAAGTTTTTAAACATTTATTAGATTCATAAACTATCCTGGATTTTTACCAAACTTGGACAGAAGCTTCTTACAATCAAAAGATGGTATCAAGAGAAATATTTTTATTGATTTACTTCCTCATTTTTGTTGTGCCTGCGATTAACAGAAAAAGTAGGCGAGACACTGGGTTCTGTGGAACCCTTACGAATTTTTTATGATTCTGACTCAAATATACAAATTTCGCTGTACATAATATGCTTTCTTAATCCATCTGTTTCATGAAAAATCAGACACTAAAGTCTTAAAGCAAAATACAATGTGTATATTATCATATCTTGATAACCTGAATAAAGTGTCAAAATATCCAAGGTCAACTTGCCTGATGGAGTTTAGATCTCACTTTCTGTAAAAATTAAGAACTTGATTGATGCTTCTCAATTTTTTAACAGGCTTAAATTAAACCAATAAAACTCGTACAACCAACCCTTTTATAAATGCCACTTCTCCATTGCTTAGTACAGTTCTGAAATAGACTTCTTATCTGTTCAAGTGAGGTTAAAATTTATACGGTAATTTTTAAAGTCTTATATATGAGCTGCAACTTCAAAACATAAGGCCAAATAAAAATATAATGGTGGTTCCCATTTCCCAACGTACCCTAGCACTTTTCCAATTACTAATAAAGATAAGTTTAAAATAGCGACCGACACGCTCAAAATTAATGTTTGACACATGTATAGCAGTATTAACTCTATTTCCTTCCTAGTTGTGTCAAAGATTATTATCCGTGTGCTCAGGAAATTTTCTAGATATAAGAAGATGTGGTATGAGTGCCAATGAGACAACTCTCCATCCAAGTCTTAAAATTGAGAATGGAAATGGGGAATGTGTCAAAGAGACAACAACCCGACCATAGAACAGACAACAGCAGAAGGTCACCAACAGGTCTTCAATGCAGCGAGAAATTCCCGCACCCGGAGGCGTCCTTCAGCTGGCCCCTAAACAAATATATATACTAGTTCAGTGATAATGAACGCCATACTAAACTCCAAATTGTACACAAGAAACTAAAATTAAAAATAATACAAGACTGACAAAGGCTAGAGGCTCCTGACTTGGGACAGGCGCAAAAATGCGGCGGGGTTAAACATGTTTATGAGATCTCAACCCTCCCCCTATACCTCTAGCCAATGTAGAAAAGTAAACGCATAACAATACGCACATTAAAATTCAGTTCAAGAGAAGTCCGAGTCTGATGTCAGAAGATGTAACCAAAGAAAATAAACAAAATGACAATAATACATAAATAACAACAGACTACTAGCAGTTAACTGACATGCCAGCTCCAGACTTCAATTAAACTGATTGAAAGATTATGTCTTCATCATATGAATATCAGGCACAATCCTTCCCGTTAGGGGTTTAGTATCATACCATCATAACATATATGAGAAGAACATAACCCGTTACATGCCAACAACTGGTTTTTAAATAAATGTGTTTAGTGCCGATGCAAAGACCCTATAAGTGAATCAATATTAACGCCAAAATATGCAATCTTTAATGACCTGACAACAGTATCGTAACTATATCCCTTCTTAATAAGTCTATTTAAAGGTTTTGTTAGCTTCAGAGGTGAATACTGACATTTTTGTGCTTTATAAAGAATATTTCCATAAAAAATTGGATGTGAAATACCTGAACGTATAATAAGTCTGCATGTTGAGCTATATTTACGAATGATGTAGACTGTTTCACTGGACCATCATGACCTAGTTTCTGAGTTTAATATTCAGTCATGTAATTGCAGTCTTTCTATAAATACTATATAAATGCTTAACTGTTAACTCCACCACATTCTGTATGTGCTTGACCCAAGTCAGGAACCTGTAATTCAGTGGTTGTCCTTTGTTGTTGTAAATCACATTTTCTTTTCGTTTATTGTTTTGTACATTAATCAGGTTGTAAGTTTCGTGTTTGAATTGTTTTACATTCATCTTGTCTGGGCCTTTTATAACATGCTATGCGGTAGTGGTTTTTCTCATTGTTGAAGGCAGTACGGTGACCTATAGTTGCTCATAATCTGACACATTGTCATATTTTAATATTGACTGTAACTTAAATTGAAAACCTATTTCCAAATTTAATTAATAAAAGTAGTAATCTTGCAAACACATCAATGATCATATGTTAAAATATGTATATTTTCTTTTGTTGACAACCATGGGTTTATGCCAGATTAAATTGGGAAAACCCGTAATACAGTCAAACATATGTAAACAGTAAATTGATGGATTGATAGTTGGTCGCTAAACATTCAGTGGCAAATATTTCATGCATGTTCAGGATGAGAACAAAATAACAATAAATACAATTGGTAGGTCCTGTAATAGAGGCCAACTGGGATGAAGGTTGGGGAAATTTGGACTGCTGCTGGAAAATGAGTGTATATTGGATAGGGACAGAAATTTTGCCTTGTAACAGGCCACCTATGGACCCCTCAAAGAGTTTTAGCAAGGTTCTTTACATGCAAAGAGCCTGGCACTCTCTTTACATGAGACATCACATTTAACATCCCCATTCTAACCGGACGTCGTTGCTTATTTGTGCTTCGCGCACAGCTGAACGGATGCCCTATGTTACACTTTACAAAGGACTAGTAAAATAAGTGAGGGCAAGCATATTTAATTAAAATTACTTTGTTAAAAATCCAATTAAATTCTTGGTTGAAAATACATAAATTTTATATGACAGGACTTTGAAAATTTGAATATGAGGTTTTAAGTTGTTTTGATCAGTTGTTTAAATTTATATAAAAATAAGGAAATGTGGTATGATTGTCAATGTGACAACTATCCATTAAAGTTTAAATGAAGTGGATGTAAGTAATTATAGGCAAGTATAGTGCAGTACACTGTGCTAAATGTAACAAACTGTAGCAGAAACTAACTTATCTTTCTATTTGCAGAAAAAAGAAAGAAAAACTCCTGTTAAAAGAGAAAAGAAGGGTAAGAATAGATTCACTATAAACATTTCATATATTTATAAAAGTGAATTATCTAGTTTACAAATAAATTATAAAAACAATTACACAGCACAATTTTACAGAACTGTCCATCAATATTTAGAGGGATCTGAAACAAACATCAATGAAACATTCACCCAACAATAAAGGGTAGAATATTGTCAAAGATTGATAGTCTTCACCTGATTGATGCTACACTCCATGTTTAGGTGTTGGTTATCTCTCATTATCATACCACATGGGTAAACGTAATGCATTTTTTTAGGTGCATGTCATTTTTTTTTAATCTTTGGTAGCCATTGTCACCCATAAAGTACAGTAGGTGATATTACCTAAAGACTTTCGGTCAATTATAAACTCAGTCTAAGCATAACCTATTTGTTTGAAATGGATATTTGGCAAAAGGATTCATGAAAATAATCTGAAGTTCTATTTGTAAAATGTTTACACAGTCTTTAAAAATCATAATTTTTTGATTGGTCAGTTTTGCTTTTATTTTGGATTTGGATCAATTTACATTGAAATTTTTTATGTTATCACAATTTCTGTGTAATATAAGACTTTCCAAAGCAAATGCGGATTTGGTTTTAAAAATAAGTTTAAAACAGAAATAAAGTTTGATGGAAAATATTAAGACAGACAAGTATTTAAGAGTAGGTCATTTTAAATGAATATTTGAAGGTAGAAACGAAAGATTAATTTTTGAACATAAGTCTTTGGTTAATTATGCTTGTATTTTCATTTGATATTTGCAGATGCTAAAAGGGTGTAAATTGGTTGAGGGGGCATTATGCAGTCACATTCTTCCCTCCCATATACATTTGAATTGAAAAAAAACCCTTGATTTCAGCTGTTATGCATTGCTTCAAACTTTCAAATCAAAATAATAAAATTACAAAAGAGAGGCGAAAGATACCTGAAGGATATTCAAAATCATAAGTCGAAAACAAACTAAAAATGCCATTGCAAAATACGAAAAACAATGAAAAGACAAACAACAGTACACAAAACTGAGCAACACAAACCCCACCTAAAACTGTGGGTGATCTCGGGTGCTACAGAAGGGTAAGCAGATCCTGCTCCATATATGGCATCCCTCGTGTTACTCATGAAAGTACAAATTCAGTGATAAGTCTAATTCATTAGGTCATATTTCAAGAAAACAGGACAGGATTATAGTTACGACAATTGAAACATATCTGTTGTCATCTGTGACACAGATATTCCAAAACGGTCTACCAACCTCGTGATGGTGTCTGGAAAATATTTGAAGGGATGATTTCAACCTCACCACTAGGATCTCTCTGTGTAAACAGCAACCCTCTATCAAGGAAATCAAAATATCTTGTTATTCGGATGTACACTGCCAAAGGAATTGAATCTTTTTTAGTATTGTGACTTTAACTGACTTAGCAATTTATCTCTTTTATTTAATGTTTGCTATATATATATTTTTAGGCACATCAACATATAGTCGGCCATGTTTGTTGTCTCAAGAATTAGCAGATGTTATGGGTGCTGATAAGGTATTGCCATATATTTGTAATTTTGAAATAAAGGTTGCTGTGAACAAGTAATAGAATGTTACTTGTCAATAATTATTATGCGCACATTCAGGGGACGTATTATGGTATACTGTTGTCTGTCTGTTTGTCTGTCTGTCCTTCTGTCTGTCCATCCATCGTCAACATGTCCTACACTAACTCAAAAAAGCTGTAACCAATTTGCATGAAACTTTGGTGAATTGTTTATATCTATTGACATAAGCTCCCTTTTGAATTTTATAAGTTTTAGGTTTTACATTTACGAGTTGTAGGATTTTATTCATAAAAAAGGGGGGATTTTCCATTCTGTGAACAATTACTCAAAAGTGCTTTGAACAGTTTTCATTATACTTTGATGACTGTATTATGTTTATAAAAATAACCTCCCTTTAGTTTTTTTTAATAAATTTCTGATATAACATTGAGGAGTTATGGAACTCTATTTTTTGAAAAAGCGACGGGCGTATCATGCGCTCATCGCGCAGCTCTTTATTTATATAGGTCAGCTCAGAATAACTTTTTGTAATAGGTTCATCAGAAATGCATCATTTGTCAAACAATATTTCTGAAACCAGATTTCAAACTGTTTAATGTTCTGGTTTGAGTGTAGTGTGAAAATTGGGAATTTAAGATGTTTTAAACATTTCAATGTGGGTAGTTTTTGATTTAAAAAAAAGGACAATTTAAAAATGGACATTTATTTATTTAGATATTGTAAATGACCATGATAACCACAATATCAGAATGTTTATTAACCCATGTCTCTGAGGTAGGTTATTTGGGGACATGAGGGTCTGAGCCTCTGACTTTAATATTGAAACTTCAATCTGAATCTTGATGTCATAGTATTTTTTGTAGAACCCCTCCTCCTTACAGCTGTTTCCAATACTGAATTTAATGACTGCCATGAAAAGTGTTTTGTTAATGTATAAAATGTAGACAGTGGTATTCTAATTTGAAGCATGAATGTGTAAGAGGCTGATAATCTTCAAATTTTTACAAAAGTCTTTAAGAAAATATGTTAAGATATACATTTCTGTTTCATGTGATATTTGTTTACTATATGATTAACTGCATTCTTCTATCAATGTTGAAAGAGCAAGTTATGTAATAGAATGTGATACTTGAGAAATTAAACCATAAATTACTAATTTTCTTAATCTATTCTGAAATTCTCTTTTTGGCTTTTTATGTTGTAGTTGGCAAGAAATGAGGTTGTGAAGAAAATGTGGCAGATAATTAAAGAAAGAAATCTACAAGTGAGTAATAGATCTTTTTTATGATTAGCAGGTGTGTATTATAAATTACCTATGCATTGTAGAATTTTGTATTGCATTCCATATAAAACATTCCAATGAGTTGATTGTTCTGATATGTTACTGTAACCATTTAGTTTAAAAAAAAAAGGAGCAAGAGCTCTACAGGGCAGGGGTAAAAAAATCTACAAGCCTGATGCCCTGGACTAGAATATTTATGCCTCTGGCAATCAAAATTTGTAATCCAATATGCCCAACAGACTAGTAATAAAAATCTTGTTATTACCATATAATAGAAAGTGCAAATCCTTTCCTCATTCTTTTATCTAAGCCAATCAGATTCAATTGCTTCATACTGGATTCCTTGAATTTGAACTGATTTTGTACATGTTTTAAAAATAGAACAAATAACAGGATTGATCAGTATCATGTATTTATCACAATTCTGGTACTTTCAATACCGATTTCTTATGCATGTGAAAACGCGTGACGTAGATGCGGACTTTTTAATATGAACAATGTTCATAATTTCACATTATATGCAAATTTGTTTATATAAAAAACAATATTCAACTGTAATCTTTTATTGTATTCAACATTGGTCTGTTTTGCTGCTTTTAAAGCAACACCACTAGGCACATAGTCAAAACACCTGCTGGTTTGGTTACATTTACTTGATAACAAGGCACACAATATATCATTGTCGAGTTCTGATCAGAATTCAGTGGTAATTTCTTTATAATTGATAATGATCTCTCACAGTCAGAATTGATATTTGGCTGAACTAAAATAGCTTCATGAAGCTTTGAAAGAGTGTCATAATGTTTTTTTGCCATCTAAAATGTCATCTATGATCTCTGCCATTGCTCCCAACAAACTTTGCCTGGTCAAAACTGGGTAGTTCATAAGAAGACAGCTAATACTATGAGAACTGATCCAACAGTTCCGTGATATTTCCATCCCCTATGGCCTGTGAAAATCTGTTGGCTACATTTGAAACTGAAAAAGAAAAATATTTTATAATTGTTAAATGCATTAATCAAATAGCTATGTATTTTAGTTCTCCTCTCATATGTATTGTTATGATTGCAACATAGAGTGCACAATGCGTTACTCATCCCTCGATGATTTAAACTCGAACTCCCAAATATAATTTATAAATCTTGAATCTTGGTACGTACACATCGTTTTCGCTTAGAAATCGGCTCTTTAGACGACAGTACAGGTCCTGAAAGCTACCTCTTTCTGTGGACATTTCCCCTAAGTAAATTTGAAAGAAAGAAAGTCCCAAAATCGTAAAAACTAATCACAAACTACTTACCTTAAGAGCTTTTGCTGTTCGTCCATATAGAAAAATAAACAATGGCCACCAAACAATTCTTTGAAATTTCGGTATTTATCGTGTTATAATGAAAAAACCAGAGAATCGCGATATCACTAACAACCAAAAAATCAAAACAACGAAAAAGCGTGTAATTGCGTGTAAAGTGGTGAAAAGCGTGTACGTGCTATGTGATAAAATCCTCGCATGTAAACCGTTGAAAAAGCGTGTATTACACGCGAATATCATGTCAGTTGGCAACTATGGTCCTAAGATGAAACTATTTGTCCTAAACGAGTAATTGGGATTTAGGACAAATTTTATTTTCTTAAAGAAGTAATTTCGGTCGTTTCATTGACTCAATGTTTGAAATCGGATTTCTTAATCGCCATTTTGCACTGTCTTGTGTAAGTTGTGATCACTTGTTTTTGTTTATAATCCCTTTCCTGTAATAAAACTGCCACTCCAGTAGTTTGATAATCCTGAGGGTCCTCCTAATATCTATATCAATGCCTACTGGAAACATTGGCTCATGATCGCTAATCACTTTTTACCTGTGGTTTTAATTCACACCTGACAGTCATCACAAGCTCAAAATAATATCTTAACAAAAATTGAAATTCCCTGACAAGTGTATACTTTTCAGCAAAGACAATCATCAAATCTGATTTAAAAATTAAACCTAAATTTACGGAGAAAAAAGTATTTTTTCATGTGCTATGTTTACTATATAATACGCATGCATGAAATTTAATATTTAATCGTAAAATGCAGATTGATTTCATGCTAAATTAAACGAGTGCAACTATTGTCTGTTACATTCAAACACTTTTAAAGGTAATAAAATATAAAAAGCCGGTGATTTCCTGTCAATTTGATAAACAAAACAAATCCCGGAAATAAATCCGGAATTATTCGTACTTTAACTTTATCGAAAACTTCCAGTTTTAACTTTTGTCACAACTTTATCGAAAACTTCCAGTTTTAACTTTTGTTACCAGATCGAAAGAAACGTAAGCAATGTCTTAGTCCAAATAATTATGACGTCTTGCAAGCATCACAGAAAAAAATTAAATAGCCTTGCAAGACGTCATAATTATTTGGACTAGCAATGTCTGAGATATACCATTTTGAGTCATTAAAATCATTTCAATTTTAAAGTATTGCCTTCCCTAAACTGTTCTTCATGGTAATGGTAAGACATTTACTTAGTAAATGCGATGAAACAGCAATACAAGTTCGTTGATGCTATGAATCTAGTCAAGTTGACATCGACAATTTGGAAAGGGGCATCAACTTTTCAATCATCTCAAAATGACCGAAATTGTGTGGAAAAATTTCCGGATCCTTGCTCAGGCTATCAGGACTAGTAAATTCTGAATGTGTAAGCATACTCAGGCTATCAGGACTAGTAAATTCTGAATGTGTAAGCATACTCAGGCTATCAGAACTAGTAAATTCTGAATGTGTAAGCATACTCAGGCTATCAGGACTAGTAAATTCTGAATGTGTAAGCATACTCAGGCTATCAGAACTAGTAAATTCGGAACGTGTAAAGCATACTCAGGCTAAGAGGACTAGTAAATTCTCAATGTGTAAGCATACTCAGGCTATCAGGACTAGTAAATTCTGCTGCCAATAAGTCCTGGGCTAGTGATCTGAAATAAAATATCTTAACCCCTAAAGGGAGAGAGAAACTGCCATGAAAATTTTTATAAATTTTGTTTCATAAGGATTACATTGTCATTATTGAAAACATTTCATGAGTTTCCTGTGAGATCTCTTATAAATACAGTTTTCCAATAATAGTTTTTGCTGTATATTATTTGTTATGTACACAAATATTGATGTAAATTTCACATAATCAAAATTAGTATCCTGTGCTGACAAGAAATATCATTGATATGGTCTTTTTCTGTAAATTTAATGTTCATAAAATGTTTGGCACATCTTTTTGATTTGATTGTTTTTGATCTCTTCATCTTCATAATTGATTTAGCATTCCAACTGTTTCAATTCAAACACCACTGTTGAGTCTTATGTGGACGAAACTTGCACCTGGCATACTAGATTTAAAGCCTGGTATCATTTATAAAAATTTACAGGGGCACCTGCTTTTTTCATTTAAAAATATTTGAAGATAAAAGGCAAAGTATACGAAAAAACTTAATGAAAATTGAGTTGTCTTTCTTAGAATGCTTGAAAGTTCACCTAAAACAAAAATGACAAACTTGTTCATATATTTGAATGTCTTTGACATGGCTTCTGACATTCAGAATAATTAATCTGTAATGAACAAATATACATAATTTATATTAACAAACACTTATATTATTTCATTTCAGGATCCCTCCAATAGGCAGTTTATGATTTGTGATGAACAATTATTACCTATATTTGGTAAGTATCCTTTTAAATACTGTTACTTGTTGTACCATTACATTTGATCATTGGTCTCTTTAGAGTTTGGTTACAATTATGAAATATGATATAGGTGTTTTGGAGTTGTGACTGTTTTAATTAAGTTATAAGATAGTCATTGAATATGCAAGTACTTGTTAAATTTTCATTTTTAGCCATGGCGTTGTCAGTTTATTTTTCGACTTATGAGTTTGAATGTCCCTTTTTGTATCTTTCGCCTCTCTTTTATAAAAGATACGTACTTCTGGTACAAAAAAAATAACAAAACAAAGAAAGCATAAAGATTATGACACAGACAAACGTAATCCTGATGAAAATAATAATGACAGTGCTAATGCTCTCAAAGTAACTAAAGATCATTCAGCCTGCATTGGCTGAAAGAAAAGGTGAGGAAGAGGACAACAAATTATATTTATCCCTGAATATTTTTAACTGTTTTTAATTACAGTCACTATAATGTAACGTGTGGATCTTTCCTTTCTTTAATATATATATATATCAGCAGGGTTTAAGAACATCAGTTGTTCAACCTGTTAGTCAAATGCGATTTGTTAAAATATACTTTTCACCTTTTTGGGCTTTTGGAAAATGTTGTTTGTGCTGTATTTAGACCCCTCTACCTAGAAATTTGTTTAACATGCACACGTATAAAAATTACGGTTCTTATCTAACGCAATCATAGGTTTGAACGTTGTTTTCAATTTAGACTTGTTTATATATATATATATATATATGTATTTATGTTGAAGTAACTGATATATATATAAATTATCCTTAATGGAAATTTTATTTTTGATACTGACTTTATCAGCAAGAGTATCAAGTGAGCCTTGTAGGTCCAGCTGATGAAGTAAGTATTAAGAATAAAATGCCATATTTTTTTATAATCAGCAATTTGTCTTACCTGTATGGTTTTCACACGTCTGTTTACGAGACGTATTAAGGTATACCGTTGACTGTCCGTCCGTCCGTCGTCAACATGTCAGACATTAACTCAAAAACGCTGTAACCAATATGCATGAAACTTTGGTGAATTGTTTATATCTATTGACGTGAGCTCCCTTTCGTTTTTTATAATTTTGGAATTACCGTTTCCAAATTTCGGAGTTTTATTCAAGGGGGATTTTCCAGTTATCGGACAATAACTCAAAAACAATTTCACCAATTTGCAAGAAACTTTGGTGAATTGTTTAATTCTATCTACATGAGCTCCCTTTTGATTTTTATAAATTTTAGACTCTAAGTTTCCAATTTATGGGGTTTTATTCATTACAAAAAGGGGGATTTTCCAGTTTTCGGACAATAACTCAAAAATGCTTTCAGCATTTTGAATGAAACTTTGGTAAATTGTTTATATCTATAGTTGTAAGCTCCCTTTTGATTTTTATAAATTTTTGATTTTACATTTCCAAGTTATAACATTTTATTCATAAAAAAAGGTGTGATTTTCAAGTTGAAAGTTCAAGTGCTTAGAGCAGTTTTCATTAAACTTTGATGACTGATTTATATCTATTAAGATAACCTCCCTTTAGTTTTTTTTATAAATTTCTGATATAACATTGAGAAGTTATTGAACTTTATTTGTTTATAGTCTGACAACAGATTTACTAAGTATTGCGCAACAGCACAGTATATTGCACAACAGCAAGAAATCTTTAATTGAATATAAATTCAATTCTTATAACCAATTTCAAGTTCTTTGACTTCATATATTCAGAAACCTATAATATGTCAAATATTTAATCACAATCCAAATTCAGACCTGTATCAAGCTTGAATATTGTGTCCATTTTTGCCCCAACTGTTCAGGGTTGGACCTCTGCGGGCGTATCCAGCGCGCTCAGCGAAGCAGTTTATTTTTTAAGCCCCCCCCCCCCCCCCCGTAGCGGAGGGGGCATTAAGTTTTACCCTTGTCTGTCTGTACGTCCCAAAGTTGGTTTCCGTTCTCTAACTTTATATTGCCTCAACCAAATGTTATGAAACTTATACATAATGCTTATTACCACAAAATACAGATCAAGTTTGAATTTTGGTGGTGTCACTTTAACCGTTCTAGAGTTATGCCCCTTTACAAATGGAAAAATTGCTGAATTTTTTGTTTCCGTTCTCTAACTTAAGTTAGCCTCAACCAAATGTTATTAAACTTATACACAATGCTTATTACCACAAAATACAGATCAAGTTTGAAATTTGGGGGTGTCACTTTTATTGTTCTAGAGTTATGCCCCTTTACAAATGGAAAATACAGCTTTTCGTTTCTGTTCTCTAAAGTTTGCCTCAACAAAATGCTATGAAACTTATACACAATGCTTATTACCACAAAATACAGATCAAGTTTGAATTTTGGTGGTGTCACTTTAACCGTTCTAGGGTTATGCCCCTTTACAAATGGAAAAATTGCTGAATTTTTTGTTTTCGTTCTCTAACTTAAGTTAGCCGCAACCAAATGTTATGAAACTTATACACAATGCTTATTACTACAGAATACAGATCCAGTTTGTTTTCTTTGGAGTGTCACTCTTATTGTTCTAGTTTTTCATTTAGAATATTATGAAATTACTTAGAGTAGTAAGTAAATCTATTTTTATGCGTATAAACGGTTGTGATAGTTGTTCGGTTGTATTAATTGTATGCATGTCATTGCCTAATATTTTCAAATATATTTGTGTTTATGCATAAGGCAATCAAAGGGCTATTTTGTAAATATGTAAAGTGTATATACATAAAGTAAACAAAGGGCTATTTTGTAAATGAGTAAAGTGTATATGCATAAGGTAATCAATTGAAATATGTAAAGTGTATATGCATAAGGTAAACAAATGGCTATTTTGTAAATATGTAAAGTGTATATGCATAAAGTAAACAAAGGGCTATTTTGTAAATATGTAAAGTATATATGCATAAAGTAAACAAAGGGCTATTTTGTAAATATTTAAAGTGAATATGCATGAAGTAAACAAAGGGCTATTTTGTAAATATGTAAATTGTATATACATAAAGTAATCAAGGGCAATTTGTAAATATGTGAAAAAAAGTTCTTGGAAATAATCTGTAACCAGTAGTAATTATACCCCCGCTTTAAAAAAGTGGGGGTATACTGTTTTACCTCTGTCTGTCCTTCCGTCAGTCCATCCGTCCATCCCATGAATATTTTCGTCGCATTTTTCTCAGGAACTACTTGACAAGGATTTCTGAAATTTGGTTTCAGGGTTTATATAAGTAAGTTACACCGTGTGATGTGTTTTCAGATTCATCACTCAACAACTTCCTGTTTACCGAACACTTGTATTATTTTACACATGATAGCCAAGTTGAAAATTTTCGTCACATTTTTCTCAGGAACTACTTGACAAGGATTTCTGAAATTTGCTTTTTTGGGTTTATATAAGTCAGCTATACCGTGTGATGCCTTTTCAGATTCATCACTCAACAACTTCCTGTTTACCGAAATATTTCGGTGGAGGTATCATCAGTGAGCAGTAGCTCACAGTTTTACTTGTTGTCAATGATTTACAATTTTTTTTTTAGGCAAAAAGAAAGTCAAGACATTTGGAATGATGAAATACCTGAAAAATCACATAAAAGATGCAAAAGATGTAACAAGTTGATAAAAGGCAGGTTTTGTATGAAAATGAAGAATAAGTGTCAGAATGAAAAAAACAGTTGGTATCTCAGGCCAATCCACAGCATCATAATTGTTGTGAATCACCAATCTGAAAAAATATCTTATCGTATATTTTGTCGATCATTAAACATCTCTCATGCCATGACTATATTACTAGCAAAGAAAAAAGACAACAACCTGACCAAAGAGCAGAAAACAGCCCAAGGCCACCAATGGGTTTTCAACACAGCAAGAAAATCCAGAGGCGGGCTTCAGCTGGCCCCTTAACAACAATGTATACTAGTTCATCAAAAATGGACGTCACAATAAACTCCAAAACATATAAATGAACCAAAATTGAAAAAAAACCATATAAGACTAACAAAGGCCTTATGGACAATTAAAAATTTTATATTTCCATGATATGCTTATTTTAGATTCTCATTAGAGTAAACAAGATTTTACTGCTTCTGTTAGAATCAGGCATTTCAAAATTCAACATAGTCATTAAACTTTGGATTAGATTGAAAATAGTAATCAAGATAACATTGTAAAATAGTAATCAACTTAACATTGTAACTTTAAAAACTGTACTGATAATGCTAGATGCAATATTGAATGTGATTATATGTCAGCCTAATGTCCAATCAACTATATGTATAGCCACTATCACAAAAGAAAAAGAGCATGTGTTCTTTTTGTTTTTTATTCACAGAAAACTCAGGAAAAAAAACCTAAAAAAACCTGGGGTTTCTAAATACCAAATATTACAATATACACCGGGGCAGATACAGCCATTTTTAAAAGAGAGGATACCAACCATATGTCCCCATTCAAAAGCATTGATCGTCAAAAAAAAAAGGGGAGGTTCCAACCCCCGAAACCCCCCCTGGATCCACAACTGATACATAACATGTTTGTGTATACATTTAATTGGTTCTGTGTTGTTTTTTCCAGATCTAAAGAAGTATGTCATACATTTTATCATTACCATGGAAACCATTAGTCACAGCATTTCAAATATTGTGTTCATAGTTAAACTGTTGGTCCTCAGAACACTCTAGATATTGAACTTATTTTTGTCACAATAGAATGTGGATAAGTCACATGTGCTTTATGTGATCATTGGTATAAAACATATTTGTATAGGTGAAGCTGTAAATATGGTTTTTAAAAGGTCATAGTTCACAAAGGTATTTACAAATGTATGGTATTTATAAACTTTGTAAAAATGTTTATATATTTACATGTTTGTCTACTAAATGATGTCATGTATGAAGTCATTCAACCATAACAAAAACTCTAGTTGCTCATGTTTTAGGTACAAATTAATATGCAAGCAAACAAAATCAAAAAGTGAGGTAGACATTCACAAAGAATACAATTTTTACATTGTTTCACCTTAGTTTCAATTAGAACAAACTATAAATTATGTGATTAAAATATCTATTTACCTGTTTGTCTGTTCAATATCTCAAATTAGTTAAAAGATATTATAGGGAATAAGAAACATTAGCAGGGGAAATAATGATGTCATTGTGAGTTCTCTGTTGTTACATTCTTGGAAAGACCTCATATCACTTAGCACAGATCCTTCACATGTTTGAAAACTTTTTTGCAATGTGACATAATTAGTCTGTTGTATGAGGTTTGATATATATGCCATAGTTTAATGATTATCATGAACATTTTTTTCATCTTATGGTTTCATATTTACAAAGTGCCATTTGTTGATACCAAGTTACTCTTAGCATATCCGGCTCAAATCTCACTTATAAGCAAGTCTCATATACATGTACATTGAAACCTATCTGTACCAAAACCTTTTTTGTTTGTCTATGTTAGGTGTTTGGATTCATGGGGCATTCTTAGTGCTACTCAGTACTTAGAATGACATATAAAAGGATGTGTATGGTAAGAATAGAGGTTGACTGAGACCCCAGACCCATCTTATACAATGCAAAAAGAGTATATTCATGAAGAAATTTGTCTATAGCAGAACAATAAAGGCTATCCAGTAATCTGTTTATATGAAATTCTTAAGTTTGATGCAGTGAAATAGGCTTCATATTAAAATTCCCCACTGAAACCACATTATTGATTTTTTTTTTTATATTGTGCACATGATTAGAATTTAGTTTTTAAATTAGTGAAGTTATCATTTATGTGTCATATTTTCTAAATCATTCTCATGTGGCATTAGACTCAAATATGAGTATAAATCAGCTATAAAAAGTGTAGATTTTTTTTTTAAACGAAATATGTTGTAAAAAATTTAGAAAGATTAAATATTTGACTATAAACTGTGGTAAATTGAGATACCAATCACAGTGCATTCATTATTAGTGTTAATGAATCTAAATAATTTATTGACCTAAAATTAACTGTTTGGACACAACTTCCTGATGGAAGTTATAGTGAAAGACTACAGTTTGATATATTAACACTTTTCACCTGATCTGATGATTATTGTTCAATCAAACAGGAAAGAAGAGTCTAGCAGTATTATTGTTATACTGACAGCATCCAGATTTAGCAACACTTTGTGATCACTTCAGTCTGGTGTTTGCCATCAGTGTCAATTTTTTTTAATCTGCAGCTTCTCAAAATTCAATAACCTTTCAAAAAAAAATTTACAGGACATAAAGTTGTGCACCTGTTGTTTTATTTTTAGCAGTTAAAATGATTTTTGGGGTTTACTATACCAAAACATGGACTTTAACCATTCTGCTTATAAGTTTGTTAATCGGCAACTCTTTGGAAATGATTTGACAGAGTTCAACCAAACAAGCACAAATTATTCTATAGAACATGAAATAGCATACCTGCTATTTTATTTTTGATCTTTAGGTTTCCCATTACAAGATATGGATAGTATAATAGTCCCAGTATGGACTAAGCAATCTCTGCTAATATCAATTTGTTAGTCAACATCTCTTTGAAAAAGGCTTACTAACCTTATTCAGATTCATCTGCAGGATTATTTCAAGACAGCAGGCTGCACATGTCTTCTTTGGAAGACTTACACTTTTTTTAATTTTACATATCATTTTAAGATGACGAAAAAATATTTCTGAAATGTACACGACACTTCAATGTGATAACATATATTGTCTTTACACGATATGAAAATTAACTTTAAACAGTATGTATGTAGAATAGATATTTTTTTTACAATTTTTATAGATCACATGCTTGCATTCCAGTATGTATGTTGAACAAATGCAGAACATATCTGTGATTTTATAAATAGTTTGATGTACAAGAGTGATAATTGTATTTATAATAAAAAAATTAGCATTGATTTGGTATATCATATGCATGCCTACCTGCCAACCTTCTTGAGCTACAAAGTTGGAGTTCTCCCTCTTTTAAGCTCCATTTTGGGGGATATGGATGACAACATTCAAAATTTTGTAATGAAATACAAAGTATTTTTTAATACTTCAGCACAAATGGATAAATTTAATTATCTAAACATTGATTTAATTAGTTAAAAGATAAAATAGGAAAAATACCCAACTCCAAGGAAAATTCAAAACTGAAAGTCCTTTATTACATGGCAAAATCAAAAGCACAAGCACATCAAACAAATGAAAAACAATTGTCATATTCCTGACTTGGTACAGGCATTTCCTAAAAGAACATCCTTCATGACATCTTTTTATTATGTTTTTGCAATACAGTAAAATCAATCACAGAAAAGACTATCGAAACAACTGAAATGATGAAAGCATGATTTTTATTTTGTCAAAGAGGGAGATTTCGACCTTGCAGGTGACAGGTCCAATTTTTAAAGGAAAAGCAGGAGTTTCCCACTAGTTAGAACTGAGGTATTGGCAGGATGAGCATGATTAATTTCAGCAGTCCGCTGCTAAAGTAATGCAAAATATTAAGGGTAAATGCCGTTGGAAAAAAAGATATGTTCTTTTTAATCAATTTTATTTACATGCATTTTAATTAATATGAAAAATAGACCTGTTGTCACTGTCATCTATATATTATGCAGATTTGTTTAGAAATATGAATATTTTACATGTATTTTTTGGTTGATAATTGTTGTCCTGGAATTGTTTTGATCATTTGAAACTATGTTGTTTTATTTCAGTTCACTACACAGTCTTTTTTAACATGAAAATATTAAACTGAATAAAGCATTTAAATGAAAGTTTTGTTTGTTCCTCAGTTGCACAAGGGATAAGTGTTGATGAGGCTTGAGTTGGTATTTTAATACAGTCAATGTTATCTGACAAGTAATACATATACAAAGTATGGAACCATGTATTCAGGCCTGATAAGAAAAAGCATACAAGAAAGTAGTATATATTTCAAGCAAAATAGTTAATATACATAGCTGTATCTTTCAAAATACATTGTAGGTTATCCATTTGGGTAATGTTGGTATGAAATTAAAGGTTAAGTACCTTGGATCACTTTTGAACCCTTGTTGAATGTTTGTTATTAAAGATAAAAAATCTATGAAATTAAGATAGAAGGGCATATGTTGCCTGTTCTCAGACCAGAAGTATTAAACTGTTTTCACGCTAACAAACTTCCAGGAACCAGTGCACTCTTCTCTGCAAACTATGTTGAACTTTTCAGCACAATGCAGGCCATTGTTTTACATAAAATGACTGTCACTTCATTTGAATTTAAGACAGCTGGAAATTGCAATATTTAACATAGTAGAAAGCAACATGGCCATGAATTATTGGTTTTATTCCATAAATGAAATCTGAATAGAGCTTTCTTTTCTCATTTGTAAAATTGACTAACATATTGATTAGTGAAATAGTGTCAACAAAAGAAATCAGATTTATGATGGTTATTAGTATATACTGGCCTTTGACCACTTTACGAGCTTTTGCTATCAGTTGGTGATCATCTTCAAGAAAAGTTCAAAGATGAAATAAGATCCTTAAAGTGTTTAGGTTATAGATTGTTTATTATATTTTAGCAACCAAAATGGACACCACTGCTAAACATTAGAGTAATTGTCTAATATATTGAATATTCATAATAGATGGAGAATATAAAGAGAGGTAAAAATAGTCTGTGTCAAGATCAACCTACACTAAATTTCTACTGAAATTATCAGATGACTTCTATAAGAGTTCTTGTCCTTAAATGATGATTTTCTACCAAGTTTAGAATTTAAATTCGTTCCTAAAACTTGAAAACCATAATAAATATACAGAAACAGTATACAGCAATAAAGATCAACAATAATACAAGATCTATAACATTGTCATTATGAATGAAACCACCAATTTACTGTTTAGGAGCCATGTAAACATTTAAGCAATATGTCAACTATTTGGTGTATGGAATGATTGTATGGTTTACATGACTATCTGGCAGGGCTCATCTAATTTGACCTTATTTTCGTGTTCATTGGTCAACATTAAGTTGTCGTGGTTAGGTCTGTTTCTTGGATACTAAAGATAAAAAGTTACTAGTAACTATATTTGACGTATGGAAAGATTTTAAAGTGAACATGTCCGTTTTGCAGGGTTCATCTGACTTTACCTCATATACATGGGTCATTCAAAATGTTAAGTGTATGTGATACCAGTTATCTTAAAGAATTTCAACATAAATCCAATCATAACCAGTAAATCAGCTGAGACATTTTAGTGAGAACACTCTTGTTGACACATTGTGATATTTTAGTGAGAACAATCTTATTGACACATTGTGACATTTTGTATTCGTTTGATGTGTTTGAGCTTTTGATTTTGGCATCTGATAAAGAACTTTCCGTTTTAAATTTTCCTTGGAGTTCGGTATTTTTGTTATTTTACTTTTTCGCTAGATGTTTCCTGCTTTGTATCGATCTGATGAGTTAAACCCTTTTCAACTGATTTTTATAGTTTGTTCTTATGTTGTACTGTTACACCACTGTCCCAGGTTAGTCGAGGGTTTGGCGCCAGCAAACTAGTTTAACCCCACCACATTCTACATGTGTCTATCCCAATTCAGGAGCATGTAGTTTAGTGGTTGTCGTTGGTTCATGTCTTTCATATAATTGTTTTTCGTAAATTGTTTTGGTATCAAATAGGCCGTTAGTTTTCTCAATCTGAATTGTTCCATATTTTTCATGTCGGAGCCTTTTATAGCCGAATATACGTTATGGGTTTTTATACGACCGCAAAATTTTACGGTCGTATATTGGTATGACGTTGGCGTCGTCGTCGTCGTTGTTGTCGTCGTCGTCGTCGTCGTCGTCGTCGTCCGAAGACATTTGGTTTTCGCACTATAACTGTAGTATAAGTTAATAGAAATCTATGAAATTTTAACACAAGGTTTATGACCATTAAAGGAAGGTTGGGATTGATTTTGGGAGTTTTGGTCCCAACAGTTTAGGAATTAGGGGCTAAAAAAGGGCCCAAATAAGCATTTTTCTTGGTTTTTGCACAATAACTTTAGTATAAGTAAATAGAAATCTATGAAATTTAAACACAAGGTTTATGACCTCAAAAGGAAGGTTGGGATTGATTTTGGGAGTTTTGGTCCCAACAGTTCAGGAATTAGGGGCCAAAAGGGTCCAAAATTAAACTTTGTTTGATTTCATCAAAAATTGAACTATTGTGGTTCTTTGATATGCCGAATCTAACCGTGTATTTAGATTCGTAATTTTTGGTCCCGTTTTTAAATTGGTCTAAATCAAGGTCCAAAGGGTCCAAAATTAAACTTAGTTTGATTTTAACAAAAATTGAATTCTTGGGGTTCTTTGATATGCTGAATCTAAACATGTACTTAGAATTTTTATTATGGGCCCAGTTTTCAAGTTGGTTCAAATTGGGGTCCAAAATTAAACTTATTTTTCAACAAAAATTGAATATATGGGGTTCTTCGATATGCTGAATCTAACCATGTATTTAGATTTTTGATATTTGGGCCCGGTTATCAAATTGGTCCACATTGAGGTTTAAAGGGTCCAAAATTGAACTTTATTTGATTTCATCAAAAATTGAATTCTTGGGTGTTCTTTGATATGCTGAATCTAACCATGTATTTAGATTTTGGATATTGGAATACCACAAAGGGATGGTAAGAATTGTCTTTGGGAGTTATGGCTCAAACCGTTAAGGAATAAGGTGCAAAAAAGGGGGGAAAAGGGTTTCCAGGTTAATGGACAATTACTTAAGTACAAAACATAATTTAAAAGGCAGTGTAAGGTTGGTAATTGAAACTCATTTGAATATCTCACCTAAACTGCTTTTAAATTATATATATTGGAAATTTGCCAAAAACTTTATTATTAAATTTCTGATTTATATATAAAAGCAAATAATAATGATAAGGCCAGAGATACACACCAAACAGGATGTGTAAATTATTATATTAGGTATTGTGCAATAGCAAGAAATTTTCAATTGCACAGTATTGCGCATTAGCAAGAAATCTTCAATTGCACAGTATTGCGCAATAGCAAGAAATATCCAATAGCACAATATTGCACAATAGCAAGAAATCTTCAATTGCACAGTATTGCGCAATAGCAAGAAATATCCAATAGCACAATATTGCACAATAGCAAGAAATCTTCAATTTCACAGTATTGCGCAATAGCAAGAAATATTGAATTGCACAGTATTGCGCAATTGCAAGAAATCTTCTTTTTGCACAGTATTGCGCAATAGCAAGAAATCTTCAATTGAAATTTAATACAAATTTTTTAACCCATTTAACATTTTTAGATAATTCACCACATTTATTTTGTGTCAGAAACCTATATTATGTCAAAAATTTGATCACAATCCAAATTCAGACAGTATCAAGCTTGAATATTGTGTCCAAAATTGCACCAACTGTTCAGGGTTCGACCTCTGCGGTCGTATCAGGCTGCGCTCAGCGAAGCATTTTATTCTCATTGCTGAAGGCCGTACGGTTGCTTATAATTGCTCACATCCGCTTCATTTGAACTTTATATACTGGATAATTTTCGCATTGGCAATCATACAATATCTCCTTATTTTTATATGGCTGCCATGAATGTAATTAGGTCATAAGGTTAAAATTCAAATATAATAGTTGTCAAATATCTTAATGTTTTTCTGGGTTTTTTTTTGTCGGGTTGTTGTTTCTTTGACACATTCCCCGTTTCCATTCTCTAATTTACATTGATTCTTTTACGTAAATATCTAAATGGCATTTTTTTGCAGAAAGCGCCTCAAATTTTATGTGATCCGAATAGGATCTAAAGCTTTTCAAAAATCATACTCGTTCCATATTTTGTTTTTTATAATGATTTCTTGTCTCGGCTGAATAAAAGCGAAAGATAAGTGTTACTTTCTGGTGGCCTCATAGTCAAAACTTTTCTGATAGAGCCAATTTAAGGATATGTACTTATGATAGAGCATTGATAATTTTCCTTATCTTTTCATGTCTGTAACATGCAATATAATTAAATCAAATCCAATCCGATATTGATCAAATTTGTATCTTCTTTTTTTAAGTAAATAGATAAACAAAATTTTTTTACAACTTTTTCATTTATATTGTATATGCTTTTGCAATTACATCCATGCAAGTGGATTATAAAACGCTTCTGGCTTTGGTCACTTTGAAATCTCTGCACTGCTCCCTTTAAGGTAGTTTAATGAAGAGATCTTACAAATATACCTTCTTTATTTGGCATGCTTTTCATATTACTTTACGGCGGAATTTGAAGATTTGCGTAGTATTGGAAGTTTAAGAAAACTATTGTTCGAATGTAAGTTATTTTTGTCATCAGACAAATTATAGTAGATATTTACATTTAATATTTGGTATGCTGTTTTGTAAGCATATATCAGTCTAAGTTCCACGCAGTTTGATAGTTCCGTTGGTTTACAATCAGTATATTATACCCAACCTTTCACCAACTTAAATTTCTTTAAATCTTAAAGGTTTCTTATTTATAAATATTCACATGAAGCATAGCTCCTGATAGGGTCATTGCTGTATAAAAAAAAATCTCATTTTTAGAAAGATTATTGTAAATTTCTCTTTAGACATGATTGAATGAATCAAATAAATACATTTAAGACATTATAAAAGAAACTAATGTTCCTACTCCCAAAGTTGGCCTTAGGGAACAACCATTTAACTCTGAAAGGGGGGTATGTTTTTCTTTTAAAAAAAATATTCTGAATCCCAAATTTGAAAATATTTTAATCAATT